AGATGCAAACATTGTAGGACATAACCTATAAGGGTTGAAGAAAATAACCTTCAATGACGTATTTGTCATACACACACACACATACATGTATACACATATATAGATATATATTAATGTGTGTGTTTGTAGAAAGATAAATAGATAGATACAGACAGAACGCACTCCGAGGGGCCCGACCGCTCGCTCCAACACGAGTCCCAAAGTAAATCCATTCTTCATTCTAACGGAATCCGAGAGGCGCCCACAGATCGTCCCGCGGCCATTGTGAGTCAGCTCTCCAAGACGTCCGAACCGAGGCAGATGGGAGTTACTGTACATACTAGGTTAAGCTGTGTTTAACGGGCCTCGTCGACAGGGATCGGCAGCCTCGAAAATAGAAAACCAAAGATGATGATATTCAAAGGTTTTCGAGAGAAATGGCGGAGGCGGTCATTATGGCGTGGAAGTCGGAGCTGGCAGCGGCCGGAACTCTTCTCCGTGTCTTCGGAATTTTACGGTTTGCACTTTTTCTTTTCTTTTCTTCTCTCTCTCTCTCTCTCTCCTCTCTCTCTCTCTCTCTCTCTCTCTCTCTCTCTCTCTCCTCTCTCTCCTCTTCTCTCTCTCTTCTCCCTCTCTCTCTTCTCTCTCTCTCTCTCTCTCTCTCTCTCTCTCTCTCTCTTCTCTCCTCTCTCCTCTCTTCCCTCTCTCCCCTCTCTCTCTCTCTTCTCGCTCTTCTCTCTCTCTCTCTCTCTCTCTCTCTCTCTCTCTCTCTTCGCTTTCTCTCTCGGCTCTCTCTCTCTCTCTCTCCTCTCTTCTCTCTCTTCTCTCTCTCTCTCTCTCTCTCTCGTCTCTCTCTCTCTCTCTCTCTCTCTCCTGTCTGTTTTCTGTCTCTCTCTCTCTCTCTCTCTCTCTCTCTTTCGCCTCTCTCTTCTCTTCTCTGCGTCTCTCTCTCTCTCTCCTCTCCTCTCTACTCTCTCTCTCTCTCTGTCTGTCTCTCTCTTTCTCTCTTCTCTCTCTCTTCTCTCTCTCTCTCTCTGCTACTCTCTCTCTTCCTCTCTCTCTCTCTCCCTCTCTCTCTCTCTCTCTCTCTCTTTCTTTCTCCTCTCTCTCTCTCTCTCTCTCTCTCTCTCTCTCTCTCTCTCTCTCTCGTCTCTCCTCCTCGGTCTCTCTTCTCTCTCTCTCTCATTTCGCATTCTTTCTATTTTCTCTCTCTCTTCATCTTTCTCTCTTTCTCTTTCTCTTTCTCTCTCACACAACATTCCTTTTTTTTAATTCTTAATTCTCAGTAGGTATCTCTTTTCCCAATCTTCTTCGTTTCTTCTTACTCCGTTTTCTCTCCTTTTCCATTACAAACCTATCTTTCCATTTTCTTCGTTTCTTTATTCCCTATTTTTCCTTCGTAATCGACCCAATAGATTCACTTCTATGTCTCTTTTCTTTGCGGCTAAATTTCGAGTTCCCATATTCTTCTCAGCTAAAAAAAGAAAATATATATTGTCCCGTTTTTTCTCAAGTAAAAAAGAAAGAAAAAATATTTCCCGTTTCTTCTCAGCTAAAAGAAAAGTAAAAGAATATATTTCCGCTATCTTTATCCAGGCCTAAAAAAAGGAAGAAATATATATTCCCGTTTTCTTTTCAGCAAAAAAAAAAAAAACAAAAAAAAAAAAAAAAAAAAAAAAAAAAAAAATATACTATATAATATATATATATTATATATATATATTATATATATATATATACTAGATTTCCGTTGGTCTTTTTCAGTTAAGGACAAGATCGATTCTCTTTTCTCTTGATCGAAAAGATATGTATTTCAATTTCCTGCATTCCCCGATTTTCCCTTAGCGTTGAAGAGAATAATCAAATTCTGTTTTTCTCATGCAGGCTGAAAAAAAAAAAATCAGTTTCGCTTTCTTCTCTTATATCTAAAAAAAAAAAAAAAGAAAAGAAATCTCATTTTCTTTTCTAGGGCTAAAAAAAAATCATTTTAGTATTTTCTTCTCAATGAAACAAAATTAGCAATTCCCATTCTTTCTAAGTTGAAAATACCAGATTCCTTTTCTTCTACGAAAACGAAAATCCCAATTTTCCCATTTTCTTCTCACCTAAAAAAATAATTTCCCATTTTCTCCTGAACTTGAATAACATAATTAAAACGACAACAATAAAATAAATTCCCGTTTTCTCTTGCAGCCTTAACATCAATTCCGTTTTGCCTCTTCAGCTCTTAACATCAATTCCGTTTCTCTTCAGCTTAACATCAATTCCCTTTTCTCTTAGCCTTAACATCAAATTACCCGTTTTCTCCCAGCCTTATCTAATATTCCCGTTTTCTTTGTTTTCAGCCTTATCAATTCCCATTTTCTTCCACCAGTTTAATTCTCGTTTTCTTCCACCAGTTCAATTCTTTCTTTCTATTCACAGTTCATTCTCGATTTTTTTCTTAACACAGTTCAAGTTCTCGCTTTTCTCTCCAAGCGCTATAACACTCATTCCCTTTTTCTCTAATCCTTATCAATTCCCGTTTCTCTTCAGCCTTACCATGAATTCCCGTTTTCTTCAGCCTTATCATCCCCATTTTCATTCCACGTTCAATTCTCGTTTTCTTCCACCAGTTCATTCGTTTTCTATGCGCACTCATTCAATTCTTCGTTTCTCCACCGAGTTTCAATTCTCGTTTTCTTCCACCAGTTCAATTCTCGTTTTCTCCCCAGCCTTCCCATCAATTCCCGTTTTTTTCTTCAGCCTTTAATAGTAAATTTCCCGTTTTCTTCCACCAGTTCAATTTCAATTCCCGTTTTTCCCCCAGCCCTTACTAAAAATTCCCGTCCCAGCCTTACTATAAATTCTTTTCTCCACCAGTTCAATTTCGTGGGAAACTACTCGGTCCGAAAGGAAATTCTCTTCAAACGCTTGCAAGAGGAGACGATGACCAAGATGGCGATCCTCGGGCGGGGATCTATGAGAGACAAACAAAAGGTGAGGATTTATCTTTATTTCTTTTAATGCTATTTCTTTCAAGATAGGCGATCCATGGGAGGGAATCTATGAAGTTACAGGATTTGTTTGTTTTATTTTTTTATCTATTTTTTCTTTGCTTCTTTTATATTTTTATTTAATATTTATTATGATTTTTAATTTGGTTTTCGTTTTCAACGAAAAATATTTTTTTTCTTTTTTTTTTTTTTTTGGCTTCTATTATGTTTTATTTTTTATTTTTGTTTTCGTATTTAATTTGAAAAAGGTGACTGTTTTGTTTGTTACTTCTTTTCTTTTTTTACATTTAATTTTTTTACTCTACTATCTTTATTTATGATTTCTTTTTATTCAATTTTGCTTTATATTCTATAATTACAGGTGTGAAAATTTAAACTTCTTTTTACTTTTTCCATTATATTTTTCTTTATTTTGCTTTATATTAATTAACTCATCTTTCTTTGTGGACTGAAAATTATAATAATAGCAACAATAGCTAAGATATGGGTAAGTATCCTATGGTAATATTACGAGTATATGGAATTTAATAATGATAGTTTTATCGAATCTTTCTCATAAATTAATATATCTAAAATGATTAACCTCACATTAACTTTAGGTCAACACACGGTTGATCTAATGTGCACTCGTATTAATGATATGATGAAATTATACATTTAATTCATGTAAAAATTCTTTGAATTTATTACTTTCCTTATCAAGTTTCTTCAAAAAGTAACTTGATTTTACTTCTTTAATTATTAATGTACTTTAATTGAAATATTGAAATTGATTGATACTCTTTGTATATCGGCGTTCTGGTCGCCAATTTGCATTTTACCTTCCAAGCTATTACCGTCATATTTATTCCAGTTCTCTTCCTCTCTCTCTCTATCTTGTCTCTCTCTCTCCTCATCCTCTCCTCTCTCTCTCTCTCCTCTCTCTCTCGTCTCTCTCCTCTCTCTCTCTCTCTCTCCTTCTCTCTTTCTTTCTTTTATCTTTTCTTTCTCTCTTCTCTCACTCCTCTTCTCATCTCTCTCTCCTCCTCTCTCCTTCTCATCTCTCTCCTCTTTCTTCTCTTCTCTCCTCGTCATCTCTCTCCTCTCCTCTCTCTCTCTCTCTCTCCTCTCTCGCTCCTCCTTCTCTCTCTCTCTCTCTCTTTCCTCCCCTCTTTTCTCCTCCCCCATCTGGTCTCTCTCTCTCTCTCTCTCTCTTCTCTCGTCTCTCTCTCTCTTCTCTCTCTCCCTCTCTCTCTCTCCTCTCTCCTCTCTCATCACCTCTCTCTCTCTCTCTCTTACAAACCACCTCCCCGTTCTTTCCTTCTTCCTTTTTAAACATTCTCTAACCTTGAACCTCTCTTGACCTCCAGGAGGAAGGAGCCTTCCGCGTGTTCAGTGACCCCAAAAATTCAAGCCCTTGAGTGATGAAACTCAGTGCGAGGTCACCGCCGTAAGCGCCTCCTGCAGAAGCCCACGCCCCGCATCCGCTAACGCCCCTCACAGAGAAATTCCCGCAGATATCTTGTGCCGGTAGGTGTGGGGGTGGGTGGTGATGAGTGGCATGTGGGTACGCCGAGCTAGGCGCGCGCAGTGTTGGTGTGATTGGGTAGCATAGAGATGAGCAGCGTGCGGGTTATATGTACGTGTATACATCGAGTCAGTGGTAGAGAGTTGATGTGGTGGGGGGGGGTGAGGGAGTGTGGTGGTGCGATGAGTTGGATGGTGGGGGGGTGAGGGAGTGTGGGGTGGTGATGAGTGGATTGGTGGGGGTGAGGGTGGGGGGGGGGTGAGGGGTGTGGGTGGTGAATGAAGTGGATGGTGGGGGGGTGAGGGAGTGGTGGGTGGAATGGTTGGGGGTGGAGTGTGGGGATGTGGTTGAGTGGGTAGCGATTGGTGGAGTGTGGGTGGTGAATGAGTTATGATCCTTATGAGGTGGCGGGGGGGCTGTGCAGGCGTGGTCATGCGGGTGGGTAGAGTGTGGGTGGTCAGCATGTTAGTTGGTGTATAGTAGTGTGGTTGAGGGGAGTGGGTATGGCGTTGTGGAGTATGGGTGATGAAGTGTCGGGTGTGGTGAATGGAGTGTGGAAGTGTGGTTGGGATTGGTGGAAGGGTGGATGTTGGTGAGGAGTGTGGGTTATGGGTGTGGGTGGTGGGTTGTAGGTATTGGGGTGGATAGGGTCGGTGATGGGTGGTGATGAAGTGGATAAAAACTAACGAAAAAGAGAGACTTGAATAGTGTGATGTCAAGTATAGTGATGGTGTCAAAAAGGTGATGAATGAGTGGGTGAATAGTGGATGACAAGTAAAACAGAAAACATGCCTGATGGTGAATTGTGAATAATAAAAAGAAGGTGGGACCATATAATGTAAGAAATAACATAGGTGTGATGAAGAGTGATGGAGGTAATGATGACAAGAATTTCGTGAATGGCTAAAGTTATGTAAAACGCGGAGGAAAATGGTGATTGAACACGCGAACATTTGAATGAAAAAGTGATGAAAGATGACAACAAGCTGGCGAAGAAGGACAAAAGAGTGGTGAACCATATTCAAATGTGATGAAATGTGATGAAAATTGACGTAAAATAATACTATCCAAGAGATAAAACAAAACGGTGCAAAAGAAAAAGTAAAAAAAAAAAAAAAACAAAAACATCAACAATAGCCAAGAAGTGATGAAACAATAATGAGAATGATGAAGTGTGGTGAAGTGTGATGACGGTTATGACGTCAAGAAAGACATCCATTTATCTAAAATCCCTGTGCCAGTTAAGAAATCTACAAGATAATCTTTAAAAAAATGGACAAGTGAATAAAATTAAGACCAGAGTCGGTGTCAAGAGGAGAGAGAAAAAAGAACAAAAAAAGAGAAAAAAAAGAAGGAAAAGAAAAAAATAAAGAATAAAAGAAAAGGAAGATAAAATGAAAGAAAAAGGAAAAAATGATAAACAGATAGGAAAATGAAAATAAAAAAACACGAAAAATAAAACAAACAAATAGAAAATGTAAAAATATATGATAATAATAAATAAAAAAGAAAAGAAGAAATAAAAAAAAACGACAAGAACAGTAAATGAACGAGAAATAGGGTTTTAAACGTCAGGAAGAGGGCATCCGGTTTTGATAGGTGTAGGGCAGGTTGTGTAAAGAAAGAGTGAATTGTAAATTAGAAATAGAAGAAGAGGGGAGGTGAAGAGAAAGAGATGAGGAAGAGAGGGGGTTGGATAAGAGAGAGGGGGAGGGAGAAATAGAGAGATAGCGGGGGGGAGGGAGGGAAGACGAGAAAGAGAGAAGGGAGGAAGTGAAAGAGAGGTTGGGGGGAAGAGAGGAGAGGAGAGATGGGGGGAAGGGAGAGAGAAAAGAGAGGCGGGAGGAAAGAGAAAGAGAGAGAAGGAGAGAGGAAGCAGAGAGAGAGAGAGAGGGAAGAGAGAGAGAGAGGAGGAGGGAAGAGAAGAAGGAGAAAGGGAGAGAGCAGAGAGGAAAGACGATAGAGAGGGGGGAGGGAAGGAAGAAGAGAGAAAAAGGGGATAGAGAAGAAGAGAGAGAATAAAGGAGAGAAAGAGAGGGACAGAGAACACAGAGAGAAGTGAATGGAAGAGTGAGAAAGAGATCGAAAGACGAAGAAAACAGAGAAAAAAACAGGAAGAGGAGAAAAAAAGAGAGTCGCAATTGACACCAAGAAGACTGAAGGAAGAAAAGATAGAGATCAGAAGTAAGAAGAGAAGAGAGAGAGAGAGAGAGAGAAGAGAGAGAGAGAGAGAGAGAGAGAGAGAGAGGAGAGAGAGAGAGGAGAGAAGAGAGAGAGAAGAGAGAGAGAGAGGAAGAGAGAGAGAAAGAGACAGAGACAGAGACCGGAGAGAGAGCGAGAAGACAGAGCAGAGACGGAGAGAGAGAGAGAAAAAAAAAAATGTGCATAGGTAAGAATAGAGAAATTGCGAAAACGGATTGGAAGTCTCATTGAGATCGGAGTGGAAGGATTAGAAAGCGCGAGGGTTAAGAGGAAGCAATTGGGATTGGATTAAGAGGATTCGGGGCAAGGAGGAATGGAGAATGGAGGTGGTTGATGATCGTGCAAAAAGGAATAGAGAATGGAGGTGGTTGATAATTGCGCATTTTAAGAGTGTCTGTGGAAGGATGCGAATTTGGGAGAAGGGGGGAGGGAGAAGAAAGGAGGAAGAGGGAAGAGGTGAAGATAGATTTGAGAGGGGAGAGGAGAGGAGAAGTTGAAGGAGAAGGGGGGGAGAGAAAGAGAGGGGGATCCTTCCTTCCCTCCCTCTCCTACGATCCCTCCTCTCCCCCTCCTCTCCCTTTTATCCTCTCCCTCCCTCCCTCTCTTCCAATCTCTCCCCCTTCCTCCAACCTCCCTTTTCCATTCTCCCTTCTTTTTTTTAAAAATCCTTTTTCCTCCCTCCCTCTCCTATCCCCTCCCTCCCCCCACCCGTCATCTCCCTTATCCCATCCACATCCTCCCCGCATTCTTGTTATTTTTCTATCTCCTTTTTTTCTCCTCCCGTCTCCTCCAGTCCCCTCTTCCTTACCCAACCTC